AAATCTAACCATGGTTATATAATAGCAGCTGTATTCTGCCACGATTTGCTCTATGTTTTATATTCAATTAATGTGTGATCTGATTAGTCGACTAATCGAAAAAATAATCGGTGATTAATCGATTATAAAAATAATCGTTTGTGGCAGCTCTAATGCTGAAACAGAGTCTCAGTGCACCAAAACGTAAAAAGATAACAACGTATCTTAAAAACTTATTTGCTTTTTTTTCCTCCTTGACCCATTTCCTTCTAAAATACTTTTTTTATTTTTGTTTCTTGATTTTAAAGCTTGTAAAAGGGAATTTTGATAAATGTTTACACAGTCTGACCCACTGATGAGTTCATTTAAAAAAATAATTTGAAAAAAATCTAAAACAAAAACATGAAATAGCAAATGATGATTTTATTTTAAATTGAAAGTAACAACTATGTGAACGGGTATTATGACTTTACCACATAGTTAAGGGGTTAATAGCACAGTATTGTCTTCTTGACTTGAAAAACTAAAATTGAAACAAATTCATTTTAACCATTTGATTCACCCATCTAATCGTGGTGCTGAGAAATATTTTATCATGAGCTGTTGATTCATATTTAATTTTTTGCGATTACTCTTACTTTGAGCTCTAATTACACGTTTTTATGGGCTTTGATTTCAGTGCTGGAGGAGTTTGAGCCCAGAGGCCACATGTGATTTATTGATTGCCACTTTTATCYGATTACCAACATAAATGCATAAATGTATATTATTCACCTGATGATGCTTTTCAGACTGTTTTACCACTGTCCAGTTACAACATTGTACCTGCCCGTAATTTCAAAGTGCTGTTACTCTGATGAAACTTCACTCTTTTGGAAACAATTGCTATGTGTCAATAAACTGCTCTTGAGTATTGTAGTGTTTTAGTCATATTTACACATGTATATCATGTCRTACGCAGATAAACAATGAAGACACTACAATGGTCATTTTTATTTTGTTAAGTAATATTTATTTTCAGATAATACAAATTATATGTAACACTGCCTGGCCAAAATAAATTTTGCCACCAAAAAAATGAATTTCATTGGACCGTCTTTAACTTTGATTTCAGCACACATTCTCTGTGGCATTGTTTCAATAAGCTTCTGCAATGTCCGAAGATTTACTTCCATCCAGTGTTGTATTAATGTTTCACCAAGATCTTACATTGATGATGGTAGAGTCTGACTGCTGCACAAAGCCTTCTGCAGCACATCCCAAAGATTCTCAATGGAGCCAATCCATGTGTGAAAATGATGTCTCATGCTCCCTGAACCACTCTTTCACAACTCCAGCCCCATGAATCCTGGCTGTGTCATCTTGGAATATGGCCGTGTCATCAGGGAAGAAACAATCATTGATGGAATAACCTGGTTATTCAGTTTATCCAGGTCAGCTGACCTCATTCTTTGAGCACAAACTGTTGCTGAACCTAGACCTGACCAAATGCAGCAACCCCAGATCACGGACCTTAATCCAGGTGGAAACTTTTTTTTAAATTTTATTTTATTCATTTATTTGTTTATTTATTATTATTATTTATTTATTTTTGCTGGGCAAAATTTTTGACCAGCAGACAAATTTAATGCTCCATTTTTCTTTTTTCTTTTTTTTTTACAAAATGAAGCATTAGACAGATAAATTTATTAAGAAGGTAGTAGTACATCTAGTGTGTGTGATACATATCTGTTATTTACATGAGAATGAACGGGCTGGTTGACAGATGGCTGAGGGGCTTCAGCTTTCATTGTCAAAAAAGGGTGACAGTACAAAAATAGCATTGTAAACGCAATTCGTGATTTTAAATCACTTTTAAATGACAGGTTCATCAACCAATGAGTGGCTCTCAGTAGGTTTGTTTTGATTAGTTACAGCCAATGGGATTAAACAGAATTCCAAAGTGGGCGGGCCTACAACATCCCGGTGCCAAGGAGTATCATCATGATCTCCGGCAACAGATGGTGGCGGCGGAAAGTGCTCAAATCTGACTGGGTGGAGGCTCCCATGGAGATGTCCGGACCAGCAATTAGAGATGGATTTTTAATGATGACCATGGAGCAAACTAAGTTAGATAATCTTCACTGAAATTTTTAATTCTTATCAGCTGTTGGTTTTCGCTGTTTTATTCGGATTTCCACTGGAGGCCGCGGAAGCCTCGGACTCGATTTAGTCAAGCCCTCGGAGCTGAGCTGAATGAACCGCATTGTGMGATTGTTTGGGAGGTCTCGTAAAACGTAATTAACAAAGTTTCACGTTTGGAAGTACGAACGCGTGAATTCGCTTAGAGTAAATTTAGTTTTGCCGTAGATCAGACGGTGTAAATATGCGGTGTGAAGAGAAATTTGGGAGACAAGCTAACTGCTAAGTTAGCTAAAAGCGGTATGTTGATTGAATGAATGAAATTAGTGTCGACCACCTGGATTTAAATAACTGCTTATTGTCAAGAACTTTAGATTTCTATCCTGAATTTCTCCCACCAGGAGAGATTCCCCAAGGAGCTGGTTCTCGACTTTTATCCACAAATGGAAAAGAATGCTGCGCCTGAAAGTTGGAAAGCTGCATTTTAACATGTCAAAGATTGTGGAGTGATGGAACTCCCTGTCGTCTCCTAATGTTTACGAGCTAGTTAGCTAGCTACACTTGTGCACTTATTGGACTCGGGCGGTRAAATTGCTTGAAGCTAAAGTCCGGTTTGGAATATGGGGAATTCGGTGTCGTGCTGCGTCTCTCCGGAGTCCAGCCCCAAACTTCCGTCGAGACAAGCTCTGGAGCGGCTGGAGGAGTTCCACACCAGCACCGAGGTGAGCGACGACAACACGGTGCCCTACCTGCAGCACATCAGCGACAGAGAGGTGACGGATGGTACGTGTCCCCAACCCAACCCCACACACTGTAAACATCACACTGTTGTCAACACTGCGTTTGTTAGGGATCCCTGATTAGTTGTAACATTAGACTTTATTTGGTAAACGTTTATTTTAACTGTAAAATAAAGACTGTAAAAATACTGTAGGATGTTTAGTTTTGTAAATTTTTTAAAATA